ACCCGAAACGTCAGCTTTCCTGCTCCTCTGCTGCTTAGCCGACATATGGATTCCCATGCCTACATCTTTCCTCCAAAGAAAGTGAGGATGAGTTTAACCAGAGTGAGAGGGGTAGTAGTGGATGGGGATTGTTCAGGCAGCCTTTTCATGAGGAAGCAGAGAGCCCTAAAAACATCCTGATGTGGCGGACATGTAAGGCGATTGTGCATCTGTGGTGAATAGGAGGTGGCTCATACCTGCAAAATGAATTTTGAAACATAAAGCGTCATTAGATTCGTGGATGTAAGTGAGGAGCCACTGGACGAGGGGAGAAAAGACTGAGTCAGTAGGAAGAAGTCCCTTGGGACAGGAGCAGGCAGAAACAATGAGCCAGCTGGGCAGTCCTGTTTCTGGATTTTTGGGGAGAAGTGGACTGTACAACCTCTGAGCTCTGAGGTTGTCGGGGAGATGGGATGAGGTTGCTGACAGTTGTGGACACAGTGGCCTGAAGTTCGATGGTAGAATCGTGGTCCAGGTGGAGAAAGGTGTCAGAGCTCGCACTCGGCCACTGCATTGTCAAGGTCAGTATGCTGGACAAGAACAGCAACACCTGTCTACCTGTGATGTAACTTTGAAAGAACTATACACCTGAACCCCTAGGTATCTCTGTTCGACAAAACTACCCAGGGCCCTATCAGTAACTGTATAAGTCCTGCCCTTGCTCATTTTACCAAAATGCAATACCTCTCATTTATCCAAATAAAACTCCATTTACCACTCATCAGCCAATTAGCCCAATTAATCAAGGTCCTGTTGAGCTCTTAGATAACCTTTTCACTGTCTACTACACCACCAATTTTGGTGTCCTCTGCAAACTTAATAACCATGCCTCCTAAATTCTCCTCCCAATTCATTATATAAATGACACACAACAATGGACCCAGGACTGATCCCTGTGGAACACCACTGGTTACAGGCCTACAGTCTGAAAAACACCCTCTTCCACTACTGTCTTGTACCATCAAGTTAATGTTGTATCCAGTTGCCAAGCTCTTCCTGAATCCCATGTGATCTAACTTTACTAACCAGTCTACCATGTGAAACCTTGTCAAGGTTTTTATAAAGTCTGTGTCGGTAACGTCTACCGCTCTGTCCTTGTCTATCTTTTTCATCACATCCTCAAAAAACTCAAGTTTGTGAGACATGATTTCCCTTTCCCATGCCCAAAGCTGTGCTAACTATCCCTAATCAGTCCTTGCCTCTCAAAATGCATGTAAATCCTATCTCTCAGAATCCCCTCCAACATGACAAAGTGGAGTCGGAGGGAATGGGAAGGGGAAGTGAGGAAGAGTATGGGTATCTGAGTTGTATCTTCTATTCCTTAATGCCTGAATGGAAAAGAAAGTATTTTCTTGTTAGATCGAATGAGGTAGAACTTGTGGGCAGGGCAGCTCTAAGATAGTGTGAGGTGTTGCTGATGAGAGAAAAGTCATCTTTCACCTAGGTACCTTGAGCCCTGAAGGCTGTAAATGTTGAGTTTAACAATTTTGGAGCACGAACACCTCCCACCACATCTATTACGCACTCCCAGTCCCCCCAAGACCTGTCCTGACCTGTATGGAACAAAAACTAACTTTCTGGAGAAACACAGCAGGTCTGGTAGCATCTGTGGAGAGAAAACATAGTTTAACATTTTGCGTCCAGTGACCTGTCTTAAAGTTTTATTTTGGAAGTTTAGCACAATATTGCTGTAACAGATAAATAACATGAGTTCAAACACTATTTTATGAAGACCAGTCCAAATGCTGTATTCTGGAAAGGAGAGAAAATTTAAAAGCTAGAAAAACCATGCATAAAATATTTTAAGTTTTATGCCAATTTCATCTAAAGCAAATTAAACCTTTTTTGATTCTTTTTTTAAAATGGATAACAACCTGCCATGTTCTTTTCACTACTTTTTTTTCCTAGGGCACAGGTTCCTTTACTTTTCTGTATTAAACTTAACCAATTCCTACAGATTGTGTACAAATGACTTTCCAAGCCATGGGCTATGTAACTCTTTTGTTACTGACACCATTTGAATGTGGCCTAGTGATACTATGACTCATGTAAATTTATTCTTGGGGAATTTACCCAACATTCCACAAATATATTGTTTAAAAAACTTGCACAGTGTGGCTAGATATTTTTAAATTAGGTTGATGATATCATAAGATTTGGCCCATAATAAATTAAGATGTGAAAACTACTTTTGCTCGGATTTTGTAGAGCTCGATGAACATGGCAGGCCAAGCAGCATCATAGGAGGCTTGGCCTGCTGTGTTCATCCAGCTGTACATCTTGTTATCTCAGATTTTCCAGCATCTGCAGTTCCTACTGTCTTTGCTTACATTTTGTTTGCTAATTTTTTTCTTATTATCTATTATTGTGATTATTTTTTTCCTTTTAGCCACAGAATATTTTATTAACCAGCTCATCACCATTGGGTGATATAAAGATTGTTGATTTTGGCTTGTCCAGGAGAGTTGACAATGTTGGTGAATTAAGAGAAATCACTGGAACACCTGAGTACATTGGTAAGATTCATTTTCCTTTTTAAAAGGACACTTAAAGAATTTGTTTAAGATATACTGATTGTGTGCTAAGAGTGAAGTACACATCAAGACAGTGCAAGCAACCAATTTTGTACTGTTAAATAGTCCAATCCAACCCAAACTTGCAGGATAGTACTTGTTTTTGGAATATTTTTGTCAGCAAGTCTGCATGGATGTTATTCGTTGAATGACTTCCTCCTTTGATATTTAATGAAATAGATGTAGTTTTATGGTGGTTGAACTTGTGATGGTCAGCGTTTTAAGCATTTGTGTTGCTTTCCTCATTGTTATAGTTTGCTGGCATACCCATTCCCCTGCCGTATGACCATCCTTTAAAAGGCATCCCTGATCAGCTTTTGAACCTAATAGATCCTTTATTTAAAAAGCTTGGCTTCCATTCCCTTTCTTTAAGTGTGCATGGCACAATTTCAAAGTAGTGAGTGATAAATTCATGATAAGAATGGCTTACTCCTAATTTGTATTTCAGTTTAAGAGGACACTGACAGGCTGATGGAATAGGTGTCCATGTGGCAGATAAATTTTAAGTGTGAAGTACACATTTTGGAAGGAAGATTGAGGCAGAAAAATATAAAGCAGTGTAATTTGAAATAGGACATGAGAGTAGAGACACTTGGGAGTATATGTACACAGATGGTTGGTAGCATAGGTTGAGAAAGTAGGTAAATTAGAGAAAGTTGCACGGTATTACAGGTAATGTATTGGCATGGATAGAGCATTGGTTGACCAGTAGAAAGCAAAGAGTAGGGGTAAATGGATGTTTTTTTCTGGTTGGCGGTCAGTGGCTAGTGGTGTGCCTCAGGGATCAGTGTTGGGACCGCAATTGTTTACAATTTACATAGATGATTTGGAGTTGGGGACTAAGTGTGGTACGTCAAAATTTGCAGATAACACTAAGGGGAGTGGTAGAGCAAAGTGTGCAGAAGACACTGAAAGTCTGCCGAGGGATATAGATAGTCTAAGTGAGTGGACAAAGGTCTGGCAGATGGAGTTCAATGTTGATAAGTGTGAGGTCATCCATTTTGGTAGTAATAACAGCAAAATGGACTGTTTTAAATGGTAAAAAATTGCAGTACGCTGCTGTGCAGAGGGATTTGGGTGTCCTTGTGCATGAATAGCTAAAAGTAGGATTGCAGGTGCAGCAGGTGATTAAAAAGGCAAATGGAATTTTGTCTGCCATTGCTAGAGGGATGGAGTTTAAAAACAGGAAGACTATGCTGCAGCTGTATAGGGTCCTGGTGAGGCCACACCTGGAGTACTGTGTGCAGTTTTGGTCTCCTTACTTGAGAAGAGATATACTGGCACTGGAGAGGGTGCAGAGGAGATTCACTCGGTTGATTCCAGAGTTGAGAGGGTTGGATTATGAGGAGAGACTGAGTAGACTGGGATTATACTCATTGGAATTCAGAAGAATGAGGGGAGATCTTATAGAAACATGTAAGATTATGAAGGGAATGGATAAGGTGGAGGCAGGGAAGTTGTTTCCGCTAGCAGGTGAAACTAGGACTAGAGGGCATCACCTCAAAATAAAGGGAAGCAGATGTAGGACTGAGGTCAAGAGGAACTTCTTCACCCAAAGGGTTGTGAATCTGTGGAATTCCCTGCCCAGTGAAGCGGTTGAAGCTACCTCGCTGAATGTTTTTAAGGCAAGGCTAGATAAATTTTTGAACAGTAACGGAATTAAGGGTTATGGTGAGTGGGTGGGTAAGTGGAGCTGAGTCTCAAAAAGATCAGCCATGATCTTATTAAATGGCAGTGCAGGCTCGAGGGGCCAGATGGCCTACTCCAGCTCCTAGTTCTTATGTTCTTATGTAAAGTAGGTAAGTAGGCATACTGGATCTCGGATTTTATAAACAGCCACAAAATAGAAAAAAAAGGAAACTATGAACACATTTTAAAGAACACTGTTTTTCCCTACACTGGCGCCGTGTCCAATCCTTGCACCAAACTTAGAATATGAAAGCTTCAGACAGGATGCAGGGGGGAAAATAAACTACAAGAATAGCTCTAGAGATGACATTCAGTTTTGAAGATTCAATAAGCTAGAGTTTCTCAGTAGAGAAGAAATTTGTTAGTTGACATACTCGAAATCATGAGGGGTCTAGAAAGATTAGATCAAGATAAATTGTTCCCGTTTTTTAGAAAGGTAACAAACCAGAATACTATTTTAATACTCCAGCTCCTTTCATAATAAAGACCATCGACCATACTGTTTGCCTTCCTAGTTGCTTGCTGTAGCTATTGTCATTTTATTGTATGAAGGCACTATAATCTCTCTGATCATGTTCATTTAGTTGTCATTTAATTAATATTTTGTTCTCTACTTAACAATGGGAATTCTCTCGATTTTTCTATATGCTCCATCTACCACTTCATTGCGCATTTATTTATCTATTGTGTATTCTTCCACATCTGTCCCCTATGCGTGCTGTCCAATTTACCTTTTGTGTTATCACTAAACTTGGTCTAAATTAGTTTTGACAGTAAATAGCTGAGGCCCTCACTGATCCTTGTGGAGCCCCACTGTTCATAACCTACCAACTTTAAAGCATCCAGTTTATTCTTACTCTGCTTTCCATCCACGAACAATTCTGTCCGTGTGAATGTATAATCCCAACCATGACGCCTCAGAATCTTTCTATGTAGCACCTTACTGAATGCCTTTTGGAAAACCAAATGTACTGCAGCCACAGATTTTCCTTTTTTACCTACTTTTTTCTCATTGAAGCATTTTTAGGATGTAAATTAAAGATAATTTGCACTTCATAAAAGTTTTATTCTTAAGAATATTTCAACTTTTATGTGGTTTTTCTTTCTTTTGCAGCTCCTGAAATCTTGAACTATGATCCAATTTCCCCAGAAACAGACATGTGGTACGTTAAAATTGTATGGCAATAGTAGTGTCATTCATACCTCCAGAGTGGTTTCAACAAAGCGAGCAAAATTTTGTGGTGGGTGTAACTTCAGGCCAGTGCATGGCAAGAAATGTATACTGCAGGCTCCACATAGTCACACTCCAGTGCAAATTCACCTGATATTGGTTATCTTTGTCAATAGTAGCAGTGTGTACCATCTCCAAGGAAGCACTGCAGCACTTTACCAAGGCTCCTTAGACAGGAACATCACCACTTGCAAGCTCCCCTCCAAGCCACACCCAATCTTAACTTGGAAATATATTGTCATTACTTCAGTGTCATTTGTTTGAGGTCCTGGAATCACCCCTCTAAAAGCACTATGGATCTACCTAGAGCACATGAACTGGTCAGTTCAAAAAGGCAGCTCACCATCATCGTCCAGTCCATTGGAACTATTTGTGATCTTCTGCACTGTTAGCTAACTTAATTCTCTTTTTTTTTTATTCACTTGTTCATTCGTGGGATATGGATGCCTTCAGCTAGACTATCAACTAAATCCTGGAGAAAGTTAAGGTTTAACTGCTTTGAATTGTTGCTGTCTATCATATAGTTAGACTCAAAACTATTTGGAAGGAGTTCCAGGATTTTGATGCAGTGTCCATTAGGGAACAACAATCTAATCAGATGATAGGGGGCTTTCAGGGTATTTTGAAGGTGGTGTCCTTCGTTTTCTAGGTTGTGGGTTGGAAGGTGCTGTCTAAGGACACTTGGTAAGTTGTTGCAGTGTAGAAGGCATGTACTGCTACACTGATGGAGGAAGTGAATGGTGAAGGAGGTGGATGAACTGCCAATCAAATGGTCTGCTTTGCCTTGGATGATGTTGGGCATCTTAAGTATAATTAGCACTGCACTCATTCAGGCAAGTATATAGCATGCTATTATGCTCCTCACTTGTGCCTTAAATGGTGGACAGACTGAAGACTCAGGATGCAAGTTGCTGCAGAATTCCCAATCTCTGACTTGCTCTTGTTGCCACAGTATTTATGTGGCTAATCCAGTTCAGTTTCTGTTCAGTGATGGTAATGTTATTGAATGTCAAGCAGCTATGATTGGATTGGCTGTTGTAGAAGATGGTCATTGCTCACCATGTGGTGCAAATCTTACTTGCCAATTGAGTCCTAGGAATGTTGCCCAAGTCTTGCTGCACTCTGACCCTCAATGGTCTCTGAGGAGGTGGCAGCAGATTTTTGTGAATGCTGTAAACATAATCAGTGCTAATTAACCATTATCAGGTAGTAATGATCATAATATGACTATAAGACATAGAAGCAGAAGTAGGCTCTTCATCCCATCAAGTCTGCTGTACAATTCAGTGAGCTCATGGCAGCTCTAATCACCATGAAATCCGCTTTCCTGCTTTTTCTCTAACCCTAGATTCCCTTACTGATTTAAAAATTTGTTGATCTCTGCCTTGAATATACTTAATAGCGTTGTCAGCCCTCTGCAGTAAAGAATTTCAGATTAATTACCCTCAGTAGAAATTCCCCTTCATCTCGGCCTTAAATGTGCGAGCTTTTATTCTGAGACTTGTCCTCTGTTTCCCATTGGAGAGTCTAGGATCAATCTTTCTGCATCTGCACTGTCGAGTCCTGTAAGAATCTTGTATGTTTCAGTAAGGTCTCATTTCATTCTTCCAAATTCTAACAAGTACGTGCCCAACGTATGCAATCTCTCCTCATAAGATAGTCCCTTTTACATACCTGGTATCAGCCTCGTGAGCCTTCTTTGGATTGTGTCCAGTGCCAGTATCCCTTTAAACAAGGGGCACAAGTTTTTGCCTTGTATAGTTTTTGCAAATCCTCCCAACTTTTATACTTTGTTCCCTTTTGAAATAAAGGCCAATATTCCTTTGGCTTCCCAATTACTTGTTAAACTTTGCTAGCTTTTCCTGATTAGTGGAGGACTTCCAAATCCCTTTGTTCTGAAGCTTCTTGCAGTCTTTCTCCATGTTTAAAATAATGTACAGTTCCTGTATTCATGCTGCCAAAATGCATGACCTCATCTTTTCCCACATTATATTCCATCTGCCAAGTTTTTTGCCCATTTGCTTAATCTGTCTATATATTCCTCTCTGGACTCTGTTTCAACCTCACCACTTGCCTTCTCGCCTATCTGTCATCTACAAAGTTGGCTATAGTACATTAACTTTCATTATCGAGTCATTTTATATTGGAAATAATTAATTTTAGCCCTAGCACTGATCCCTGTGGCCTTCTACTAGTTACAAGTTGCTATCCTGAAGATGCCCTTTTTCTCCTGATTGTATTATGTCTACTAGTTAGCCAAATCTTTCTCCATGCTAATATACTACTTCCAATACCATGGGCTCTAATCTTTAGTAGCTTAGTGGTGTCATATCTTCTGAAAATCCAAATGTATTACATCCACTACTTCCCCTTTTAACTATCCTGCTTGTCATCTCAGAATTTAGGTAAATTTGTTAGGCATGATTTCTCCTTCATGAAGTGATGCTGATTCTGCTTGATCATCGTGTATTTCTAAATGCTCTGCTATTATATCCTTTATAATAGACGCTATCATTTTCCAAATGAAATACATTAAGCTACCTGGCCTATAATTGCCTTTTTGGACTCCCTTTTTAAATAATTGTCACAGTGGCAGTTTTTCGAACCTTTTGGGACTCTTCCAGAACCTAATGATTTCAAATATTCTTTTCCTTTTACAATTTCCTTAGTGTTGATTAGTTACTAAACATATCTATTTTTGAATAAAAGAGCATCAGTTTATTACGTGTAGAAAATGAATCGAAGCCATATATGAAAGACAGTTTGGAAAGATCTCATTATGAAGAGCAAAAAGAGCGATTTAGCCCCTTTCCCCGGCAATTTTTCTTATAGACACTCAAACCCAGTGAAGTCACGCTCCTACCTCCACTTTAATTTATTTAATTGATATTGCAAGCATTTCCTTTCAGGAACTTGTGCATTTATCAGATGTGATTTTGTCTTCTATCTCTCCTAAGACATGCCATCCAGGATAACTCAGCTTTTCTCACTGAAGTCTAAGAATAAAACATAAGGGCTGCCAAAACAGCTTAAGTATTTTTTCCAGCTCTAATTATGGAGACTGCCACAACTTAACTCTTTGTTGCTATGGATGAACTCGCTTTCAGAACAGCAACCTGCTTCTGGCTCCTAAGCTACCATTTTGTAGGTCATAAAACATTCAACCTGGTAAACATTTTAAGTAACTAACTCATCAGGTAGCTTGAATCATTTTAGAGTCGTTAGAGTTCTCCAATTATACAGCACTGCAGCAGATATTGGTCCAATTTGTCCAAGTCAGCCAGATATCCTAAACTGATCTAGTCCCATTTTTCAGCATTTGGCCCATATGTCTCTAAACCCTTCCTATTCATGTACTCATCCAGATGCCTTTTAAATAATATAATTGTACCCACCTCCATCACTTCCTCTGGCAGCTCATTCCATACATGCGTCATCCAGTGTGAAAACATTGCCCCCTCAGGTCACTTAAATCTTTCCCCCTCTCTCCATAAACCTATGCTGTCTAGCTTTGGACTCCCCAACCCTGGGACAAAGACCTTGGCTATTCACCCTATCCATGTCCCTCGTGATTTTAAACCTCTATATGGTCCCCCCCTCAGCCTCCGATGCTCCAGGGAAAATAGCCCAAGCCTATTCAGCCTGACCCTATAACTCAAATTCTCCAATCCTGGCAACATCCTTGTAAATCTTTTCTGAACCTTTTCAAGTTTAACAACATCCTTTCAATAGCAAGGACACCAGAATTGAATGTCGTATTCTAAAAGTGGCTTCACCATCCTGTACAACTGCAACATGACATTCCAACTCCTATACTCAATTGATCGATTAAAGGACAGTGTGTCAAATGCCTTCACCACCCAGTCTACCTGCAACTCCACTTTCAAGGAACTATGCACCTACACCCTGAGATATCTTTTCGTCAACACTCCCCAGGACATCAACATTACATGTATAAGTCCTTCCCTGATTTGCCTTAAGACCATGCAACACTTCAAATTTATCGAAATTTATCTGATCGAGGTCCTACTGTGCTCTGAGATAACCTGGTTGGTCACACCACCAATTTTGGTGTCATCTGCAAACTTGCTTATCATACCTCCTATATTCGCATCCAAATCACTTGTGTAAATGACGAACAACAGTGGACCAACACCGCTAGTCAAGGTCTTCAGTTCGAAAAGCAACCCTCCACCACCCTCTTCTGTCTCCTACCTTCAAGCCAATTGAGGCAATACCCAACTAAGCTTGAAACCTAGACTAACCACGTGGATACCTGTTGTGTGTGGTAAGGCTTACGTGACATTATGGGTTACAAAGTGAAATTGAACAGAATCCCAAGCAGTAGTGCATCCCTACCTGATGAGCTCAGTGCATTCTACACTCGCTTTGAATAGAGCAGCAGTGAAACAATATCACTTGTCCCATCAGTCTCGGATGCACCTGTACCATTGGTCACTCTAACAGATGTTAGATCAGTGTTCTTAAGAGTGAACCCATGGAAAGTGACCAACCCAGATAGAGTACCCAGCCATGCATTTAGATCCTGTGCAGACCAGCTGGCACGAGTATTTGCAGTCATCTTCAACCTCCTTTCTACGATCTGAAGTCCCCACCTGCTTCGAGAAGACCACCAACATCCCAGTGTAAGGAAGAATCTTGTAGCGTGATCAATGATTGCCATCAGTTGTTCTGACATCCATAATTGTGAAGTGCTTCGAGCCATGTGGTCACGGCTCACATCAACTCCAACCTCCCAGGTTGCTTTGCAGTTCCACCTGCAAATCTATTCATCTCAGCTGACTGTCCCACTTTAGAACAAGATGTAACAAGTCCATGGCAGAAACGTTCTCCTTGACCCGACACTCATCCCTGAAAGATCTGGACAACAAGGATACCTACGTCAGGCTCTACCTATTGACTACAGTTTTGCCTTAACACCATAATTCCAAACAAACTCCTCTTCAAGCTCCAGGACCTTGGTATGTGTTGACATTGTAATTGGATTCTGAACTTTCTGAACTTCCTGACCAACAGACTGCAGTCATTAAGGATAAATGACAACACCTCCTCCACGATAATCCTCAACATTGGTGCCCTGCAAGGCTACATACTCACTCACCTACTATACTCCTGAGAGACACACTACTGTGGCCAGCAGCAAGTTCCTGGGAGTGACGATCACCAACAAATCTGTCTTGGTTCACCACGTTGATTCTACAGTCAAGAAAGCACAGCAATGCCTCTACTTCCTCAGGAAGCTAAGGAAATTTGGCATGTCCATAAAGTCTGTTACATTTTTTAATTTGTAGGATGCTTTCTGCAATGTATCTGGATGCATCACAGCAGGGTAAAGGAACTGTTGTTCCCAAAACGGAAAGAAACTGGAGTTGTGAACAAGGCTCGGTCATCATGCAAACCAGCACCCATCTGTTGACCTCATCCATATTTCCCGCTGCATCGGGAAAGCAATCAACATAATTAAAGACCCCTCCCACCCCAATTATACTGTCTTTCCACCCTCTTCTGCCAGTCAGGAATTCAGTTGGAACAGTGAATTAATGATATAAAAGTTCATATACATGTACAAACAGATTCAAGAACAGCTTCTCCACTGTTATCAGGTGTTTGAATGGACCTCTTTAATGTTAATGTTGCTCTCTCGCACGCGCTCTCGCCAGCTGTAACATTGTATCCTGCACTCTGCCCTGCTACCCTAATGCACTCGTAGTACAATCTGCCTGTAAAGCATGTAAGATGACATTTTTCACTGTACCTTGGTACACGTGACGGCAAATCAAATCAAAGAAAGTTAAAACCTTGTCAAACTCCTTGCTGAAGTCCATATAGACAATGTCTATTACTTTGTCTTCAATCATCTTTGTCACTTGAAAACAGACTCAATCAAGTTAGTTTGTCATATGATTTATTGGAAATACTGTATTTAGTTCACTGTTTCAACTGAATTTCTGACCCTTTTTAATAAAAATCTTCACAGCACTGAAAGCTAAAAGGCTGTTTACTTCTACTTTAGAATCTAGGTTCCCAAATTATAATATCCCGTGAACTTTTGTCGCAAGAGGCTATTTGAGTTATTAACCTTATGGATCTCCTGTGGGTGAAGAGCACCTCCACTTTCTCCTCCATTCTTCTGCTTCAGTTTTGTGGCACCTTGATAGCTCACCAGTCATGAATATGCTTGGATATTCACATTTGTTCTTTCAATAATACAGACCAGCATTTCCTCTATTGGTTCTTGTAAAACAATTGCAACCTTTCCAAAATGAGTATTCTCACTAAGTTCAATTTTCTCAACTGTGATGATCTCCCAATGTTTCTGAGGAGCTGTTGATTTGTTACTCGAATGTTCGGATTAATAGTAAACCTGCAGTTACTGGGCGAAGCTGCAAATCTATTCATCTCAGCTGACTGTCCCACTTTAGAATATGTTAAAAAGCATGTGTTGCAGACCATACAAATGTATTTGTGTAACTGGTTTGAAATTGTCTTTTGAAGCGCTCAATACTGATCAACTTCACAATTTCTACCTTAAGATCTGTTCTTGTGACATCTGGCATAACAAAACAGATTGATTGATTTTAACGTAGGGGCTGGCACATTGTTGTTTTTAACTGTTTCCACCTGGGGCTATTTGAACAGAATATAGTCTTGTTACCTTCATGTTTTCATAATTGCACATCTCTCAAATTTTAGAGTAATCCTTATCAACCACTATTCACCATGCTATCTCAAATGTTGTCATTATATAATGCATGTAATGGGGATACTTTGCATAAAATTGGCAAACATTTATAGATTCTGCTTTACAGTTTTTTCATCTTATCCACAGGAGCATTGGAGTATTGGTGTACATGCTGCTGACAGGAAAGTCTCCATTTCAGGGTGAAGATAAGCAAGAGACTTTTCTCAATATCTCGCAAGTTAATGTTGACTATTCAGAGGAAACGTTTGAAGGTGTCTCTCAAACTGCTGTTAAATTTATTCAGCAGCTTCTAGTCAAAAAGCCTGAGTGAGTACACATTTGGGAAAATGTCATGTACCCATAAAACATTTTAAACTGGTGCACAGATCCTGCAGTAAATTCAATGTTTTCAAGTTTGTAGCATATTTTGATAGCTTCCATGTTTTGTAACTTATCAAAGCACAACTACAGTTTGACTTGCCCCAGTTTAAAAACTAACCTTAATGAAATGAAGCTTAAAGAAAAATGTGGAGGATTATGGAGTCCTAGTCATATGGCTTGGAAACAGACCCTTTGGTCCATCTCGTGCATTCTGACCCAGTCCCATTTGCCAGCATTTGGCTCATATCTTTCAACCCTTCCTGTTCATACACCCATCCAGATGCCCCTCAAATGTTGCAATTGTACCTGCTTCCACCAATTCCTTTGGCAGCTCATTCCATACACTCATCACCCTCTGCGTGAAGAAGTTGCCCCTTAGGTCCCTTTTAAATCTTTCCCCTCTCTCCTTAAACCTATGCCCTCTTGTTTTGGACTCCACCACCCTAAGAAAATCATCTTGGCTATTCACCGTATCCATGTCCCTCATGATTGTGTAAACCTCTGTGGCACCCCTTAGCCTCTGACACTCCAGGGAGAAAAGTCCCACCTGTTCAGCCTCTCCCTTTAACTCAAACTCTTCAGTCCAGGCAATGTCCTTTGTAAATCTCTTCTGCACCCTCTCCAATTTGGCAATGATGGCCTTACAGAAGGGCAACCAGAATTGTATATGGTATTTGAAAAGTGGCCTTAGCAGTGTCCTGAGATAGTAGGAACTGCAGATGCTGGAGAATGAGATAACCAGGTGTAGAGCTGGATGAACACAGCAGGCCAAGCAGCATCAGAAGGAGCAGGAAGGCTGACGTTTTCGGGCCTAGACCCTTCAGAAATAGGGGAGGGGAAGGGGGTTCTGAAATAAATAGGGAGAGAAGGGGAGGTGGATAGAGGATGGATAGAGAAGATAGGTGGAGAGGAGACAGACAGGTCAAAGAGGCGGGGATGGAGCCAGTAAAGGTGAGTGTAGGTAGGGAGGAGATAGGTTAGTCCAGGGAGGACGGACAGGTCAAGGGGGTGGGATGATGGGAGAGGGGATAGGTGGGAGGAAGGACAGGTTAGGGAGGCGGGGATGAGCTGGGCTGGTTTTGGGATGCGGTCAGGGGTGTGGACTTCAATGTGGACCACAGGCTTCAAAATCTCCCCTCCCCCTACCGCATCCCAAAACCAGCCCAGCTCGTCCTTGCCTCCCTAACCTGTCCTTCCTCCCACCTATCCCCATTTCCTACCTACTAACCTCATCCCGCTCCCTGGACTGACCTATCTCCTCCCTACCTCCCCACCTACACTCACCCTTACTGGCTGCATCCCCGCCTCTTTGACCTGTCTGTCTCCTCTCCACCTGTCTTCTCTATCCATCTTCTATCCACCTCCCCTTCTCTCCCTATTTATTTCAGAACCCCCTTCCCCTCCCCCATTTCTGAAGAAGAGTCTAGGCCCGAAACGTCAGCCTTCCTGCTCCTCCTGATGCTGCTTGGCCTGCTGTGTTCATCCAGCTCTACACCTTGTTATCTTAGCAGTGTTCTGTACAGCTTCAATGTGACATCCCAGCTCCTATACTCAATGCTTTGACTGATGAAGGCAAGAGTACCAAACACTGCCTTTAAACCCTGTCCACCTGCAACTCCACTTTCAATGAATTATGCACCAGCACCCCTACGTCTTTTTGTTCAGCAACACTTCCCAGGGCCTTACTATTAAGTGTGTAAGTCCTGCCCTGGTTTGATTTACCAAAATATATCACCTCATTTGTTTAAATTAACCTCCATCTACCACTCCTTGGCCAATTGGCTCATCTGATCATGATTCTGTTGTACTCTGAGGTAATCTTCTTCACTGCCCACAACATCACCTATGTTGGTGTTGTCCACAAACTTACAAACCATACCTCCTGTATTCACATCCAAGTAACTTGTATAAATGACAGAAGCAGTGGACGCAGCACCAATTCTTGTGGCACAATGCTGGTCACAGGCTCCAGTCCGAAAGGTAAACTTCCACCACCACCCCCTCTGTCTCCTACCTTCGAGCCAACTTTGTATCCAATTGACTAGCTCCTCCTCGATTCCCACATGATCTAACCTTACTAACCAGTCTACCTGTGAACCTTGTCAAATGCTTTGCTGAAGTCCATGTAGACAATATCTTCTGCTCTGGCTTCATCATTCTCTTTGTTACCTCTTCAAAAAGAAATTCAAACCAGTTGATGAGACACAATTTCCCATGCACAAAGCCATGCTGACTATCCTTAATCAGTCCTTGCCTGTCCAAATACATGTAAATCGTGTCCCTCCAAATCCCCTCCAACAACTTACCCAACACTGATGTAAAGCTCACCAGTCTGTAGTTCCTTGACTTTTCCTTACAGCCTATTTTATTATGAAATTTGATAAATGGCTGTTTGTATTTGGAAGGAACTCCAACTTCTCTGGAGACTTAACAGCTGTGATATTCCATCAATGCATGGTCCTTTTGCTTTTCCTAATGTTTTGCCAGTTGTTATGAATGGCATTTTAAGTCAACATGGTAGTTTTCAGGATTGCAGCTCAGTAAATTGATTTTGAAATGAATTATTCATGTAAAATATCTGTTGCAGAAGCAATGGTGCAAAATGGCAAATAAGTGGGACAGTGGTTCAAATATGAGACCTGTTGATTATAGAAACGCTAAATAGGAACAGCGTAGGCCAATCAGGCCTTCGCGCTTGCTTCGCCATTCGATATGATCATTACTGATCATCCAACTCTATACCTTGTGTTTTGTCCTCATATCCTCCCTACGAACTGTACCTGACACTTTCTTGCAAACGTTCAATGTTTTGGCCTCAACTGCCATCTTTAATGTAAGTTTCACAGGCTCACATCTCTGTCCTATGTGATATCCCCCATATACTTAAACTGTTACCCCAGTTGTGGACTCCCCAGTCATTGGGAACATCTTTCCTGCATTTACTGTCTAGTCCTGTTAGACCTTTATAGGTTTCTTCAAGATCCCCTTGTTCTTCTAAACTCCAGTGAATATAGTCCTAACATATTCAGGATGTCTCCATACTTCTGACAACTTCAACTTCTATTTTTATGATTCCAAATTTTGAGTACTTTATATTTGCCAAAGGAATCCTGACTGTTGATCTTTTGTGGATCGTAAGTATGTTTTATGCTGATTCATAGATCCGAGTAGTTTGAGAACCTCATGATGATATAGTAGATTGCTGCTCTTCAGCAAAAGTGAAAATGTTCTGAGTGTAGGGTTATAATTCCTGACCAGATAACTGAGTCAAGACCTTGGTTTTAAATGCAGAGAGTCTGGACAATCAAATTTAGTCTATTTGCAATCAGGACAACATAACTAAGCGAATGAAATGGATCAGGGTTCAATATTGTTAACTTAGAGTTTGAGTGAACCTCGGGTCCTTCAATTGTTCAGCTTTCACAGGAAGTTAAGCATGGTGGACATCATGATTTGTAAATGTTTGTTGAAAGTAATGAGTTGAGATGAATCACTTCATCAATATCTTATCAGTGCCCTAAGGAAAACATGAGTTAGAAATTGAAGTGACAGTGCAAATTCCTGAACACAGCATGTACTGGGTCATAAAACTGTGACACTGATCCTAATCTAAATAGTCATACTGTGTTTATTGCATGGCTACGATTTGTTTTCGTGATGAAATAGAAATGACCAATCCATAAGTGTTTTTTTTTTTAAACTCAGCAACTTATTCTGGTGTGGGGGAGGAAAGATTGGCTATCAACTTATCAAATATTCAATAGTGCTTTGATCAGTGACTAGCATTGGAAACGTACTCCATTTGTGAATGGTTAATTGTATTATTAACACTGCAGACCACTTAATTAATGTTACAACTGTCTTGTCCACGTCATTTAGCAGAATTCATATTTGGGTCTTAGGTTGGAGTAGTGCATAACATCTTGTAAGATTTGGAATATAATAGGGAAAATATTTAGTTTTGTGTTGGCTACTTCTGAACTCTGAAACTTAAATGTAAGCTGATGCAAGCATTTTAGAATACAAAAGTAATACCTTGACTGCAGTAACCAAGGCAAAACAGAAGAGTTTAGCCTTACAGTACTTTAGTGTTTACAGGATAAATATTTACAATGTTCCAAGAAAAGAGAGAAATAGGGTTCGTAAAAGGAATTTTCCTTTATGCTGTAATGGACAAGAATTAAAACCCAGGAGTACTGGAAACTTGCGTGAAAATTTTAATTGAATTGAGCTTCCTGGGACATGGCAACACCAGGCAAGGCCCCAGGATCTTGAAGGGCTGTGATATTTCTGACGACATTACATTATGCCCCTAAATGAATAGATTTGAAATGATCCTATGTTACCTCTGAACTGCAGTGGGAGTACTGAACAGTGGTATCACTGAAAAAGTAAGGATTTGTCAAGGCGAAGAAGTGTTGGGGTCAGGGAGCACTTGAGGGTGAGCACTGTAGGTTATGAGCATTGCTAATGCCTGGTATCTGCCACATCTTGTGAAGTGTCAAAGAACTTCTGGTTATGAGCATTGGTAAGAGGTTACAGGGTTCATCAGTTGGAGAATGGAGATCCTGAAATATAATATCACTGTGTGGCATCTTGTGATGAGGACTGCTGGAAGAATGTCCATTGCTGAGAGGTACTGGAAGGAAAAGGTCCCAATGGCAAAAGGTTAATGGGATCAGGTAAACTGAGAAGAAGGGAATAGGACTTTAGATCTGTTGTTGAGGTCTTCTAGTGTGCATGTATTGTGAAGATGATGGGAGGTTGCAGAGAGTGTAGCGCTTTGGGCCTTTAAGAATTGGAATGAGGAGTTCTAGGATGTAGTAGGAGTTATCAGACCTTTAAAACTTAGTGGTTTCATGATTCTATTCATAAGCAATTTCTGCTTCACTTTGCCTGATTCCTGCATGAATTAAAGTGAGAATGTAGATTATAATTATTAGATGGTTGTGCAGCTTTTCCCTTTCTGCATAAAAGGTCAGCATATAACCTATTCATCAAAATTTAAGTATCTGTTGATGGAACACTTCTAAACAGATGAATTCTGTTGTCATTTCGCAATTTTTAAAAATTTGATTTATTAAAGGATTTGTAAATGAGTCAACTTTGTCTCCTTGAGCTGATCATCTTCAGAAGATTCGCTGAGCATTTGCACTGTAGCTTTCCCCAAAAGAATTGCCATATTATTCCTAAATGTTAATTTGGAGTTGTCACTTAAGTTAATACTTCCAAATTGCCAAATCTGCATTATTTGTGTGAGATGTTTGTGTCACTGACAATAATAGCATTTGCTACCCATCCCTAAATGCTCATCAGAGCAGTTATGGGTCAAGCACATTGATGCGGATCTGGACTCACGAGTAGCTCACACCAGAGGGATGGCAGATTTCCTTCCCAAACTGAGATCAGTGAACACTGTTTTTACAGCAATTGATAGTACCATGATCACCATTACTGAGACTAGCTTCCTACAAAATATAGAGGATCCAAAGGGAAACTAGATTTCTTGCTTTCTAAGGTATCATCCACATTTTTTTCCTACTAGCCAATCCATGTAGGCTTAGAATGTTTGTTTGTTTTTTGTTTCTTTTGACTGACTCTTCAGTATTAATCCATAAAGAAAAATCAATGGTTCTGGCTCAATGTCACTTGTATAACAGGAAGTGAAACTGATAGGATTGTGTCCCTGTTTTCACCAATGTAAAAATATGTAATGAAATCTTCTGTACTGTTTTCTGTTGACCCTAATTCTGTGATCTTTAGCAGATGCTTCAATTTGAAAAAAGGAAGAAATGCTGTTCTGTAGCCTTGTGCAGATCAGTCTTGAATTTGATTATTATATTTAAAAAGTAATACAAAGATTGACTTGATGAAATGCTATATAGTTTACTCATAATGCTTTGTTTGCATGGTTGAACCAATTAAGAGGCTTCTTAAACTACCATAACAGGTCTTGAACTTTTTAAATCACTGTGGCAGATTTCATTTTATTTTGTTTTCAATTAATTTAATTTTGTTTTAATGTGACGAAGCAACTATTTTCACTTCTAATTTGTCTATCCTTTGTCTTAAAGTTATTTGACAAGTTATAACTATTCTCTTTACTTTGAAGGGACCGAATAAATGCAGAAGCATGTCTTTTTCATCCATGGCTGCAAACAGAAAAACTGATGGGTAATCCTGTACCTGAAATCATGTGTGTTCCACAGTCTGAAGAGTACATTAAGCCTTTAGAGGAAAACGCCACACGAGCTCTCACATTTGGCGTCTGCAGACCTTTGGATAATGGCCCTGAAGAATCGGCTATTGAACCCAAACGATTCCGATATGATGATTCGTACAGAAGTTGTCATGAGGTCACAGGGGAATGGGTGTTTTAAAATTGGAGTATGTTAGTTGCAAGAGAACAGCACTTTGGGAAATCTTCCCCTTTTTATATAACGCTCAATCACTTTTTAAAAGTATGTGACTCAAGTGCATAAATGTTTTCTTGGTAAACATAAGCCGTGACTCAGTGGAGCGCTGATGTGTTAGCACTTGCAAACTTTTTTTAAAAAGTTGCATGAAAGCACATCAACATTTTTTTGCACTTATCTCAATAAGAAATACTCTTAAATGTTTAGAATTATGGCTCGTTTTAAGATAATGAGCAAAATGAAACATCGACTTGATTCATTTCATTTCTAATAGTTCTGATTGATTGTACCCAGGTATCGATCTCCTTTTTTAGGCAGCTAGCATATACTGGAGACTAGTAACTAGGATCAGTAATTATAGTCCACAATTTTTATATAATAGCTATTCAAGATTATTCACATTGCAACAGCTCCAAAGGTTAATTTTGAATGTAACTATCTGAACACCTGGATGGTTCATTATATATGCAGGTTGTTCAAACTTGCTTGAATGCTATGTTGCAATTGTAATTACAGGTTGATAAATGTTCTTCCAAGCAATCAAATTTTGCATATAATACAAAGATTCCCTATAATGAAACTTGCTTTTTAAAAAAAAAACTTACACCCTTTTTAACTATTGTACCAGCATTTATTGATTATTAGTTTGGCACAGATGTGGGTTTTTTCAGTTTTTAGCATAGATGTGTACAAATCTCAAAAGAAATAAACTCTGAACAAACCGCTACAAATTCATAACTGCTTCCATGTATCATGCTAGGGTTTATTCCTACTGTGACCATCTTTATGGCTTTGTATTATATTAGTCAATAGCAAAACAATTTACGGGCTGCCAAAACAAAGATGGAAAACCCTAGCTTTTTTTGATGCAAATGAGCTAATTGTCAAATTTCAAAAGGAAATCTTGAAATTCATTAGGGATTTAACTCATTTCCTGATTATTTGTGAATTATATTTGAAGAAACTGGTGGAGCTGTTGAATTTGGAGTAATTATTATGCACTTTTTCTATTGTATACATATCAGTTGCCTTACTTTAGAACAGTAAGGCAATTGTTTTTGGTCTTTGATGTGGAAGTGGGAATATGTTGCCTGCATCTATCTAAAGAAATATTTCAGCTTCATGGAGAATAAAATATTTTATGCTTTTAGATATCTAGTCAAACATAATCATGCAGGAAGTCTGAATCTAAGTTTTAAATGTAGCAGGCCCTGGGTCATAGCTATTATTGAAGCCATGTTAACTTTAACTCAATGAAGATGATATTTGTGAAAATTTTAAACTAAGGTAACTTATCTAATTTTGAAACATTCACATTAATGTTTTGTAATTTCAAAATTAAATCTGAAATATAGCTTTCCATATTTGGAAATATTTATTTTTTGACATTTTGTAAATTATAACTTTGAAGTTCTCAGGAAACATTCAGTTTGTTTCATTCAAGCTCAAACTGAGGTCTTTGTAATTTGAAGCAAATGTTTATATGCGAATAAACTTTAATTATTGGGCAAACTTTCATTTTAAAACTATTTCCAGGGTTAAGTGCTGTCTGCCTTTGTCTCTTTGCTTTAAGCCTTTTTAAAACAAAACATTGCGTTTAAGGTAAAATATATTGTTTTGTCCTTGTATAAGTCTGGTCAAGCTTCACTTAGAATCCTGGTGTTTTGATCAGCACACAGTAAACAAAACTGAGATCTGCAAATTAGATTGATTTCACAGTTTGGAGTACCTTGGTTAATAAGACAGGATAAAAGACTCTGCACTTTAGTATGTAGCTTTTGAGATAATTTTATCAATAAGATAAAGGGAATAGGTTGTATTATTCCAACTAAATTGGTTAAGGGAGACCAGGAAGTCAAATTTAAAAGTTGTGCAAGGTCATATCTGCCAGGGTGGAGGGAAATGGTTTGTGGGGGAGGGCTAGTATTGACAGGCTGTCAGCTTATGGTATACACAGATTTTTCTGGATTCTTTTCACCATTCAGTGACACTGCCTCCACAGCCTTCTGCAGTAGAGAATTCCACAGGTTCATCTCCGGGAGTGGAGAAATCCAAATCTTCTGTCCAAAATGGCCTCCTGTGTACCCTGAGATTGTGATCCCTTGTTCTGGACCCACATGTCTGAGAAAGATAACTTCTTCTCAAAATTCTAAATGTTTCAATGAGATTTGCTCTCATTCTTTTAATCTCCAGTGAATATGTGCCCAGTTGACACAATCTCTTCATACAATAAACCTGCCATCCCAGGAATCAGCCAGGTAAACTTACTCTGCAATCTCTCTAGCAATTGCATCGTTTCTTGGATAAGGAGACAAATGTTGCACCTATTATTCTAGGGGGTGGTCTCACCAAAGCAGGACCTGGGTGTCCTTGTGCACCAGTCGCTGAAGGTATGGATGCAGGTGCAGCAGGCGGTAAAGAAGGCAAAAATGGTATGTTGGCCTTCACTGCGAGAAGTTTCAAGTATAGGAGCAGGGATGTGGTGTTGCAGTTGTACAGGGCCTTGGTGAGACCACACCTGCAATATTGTGTGCAGTTTTGGTTTCCTTTTTTGGAGCAAAGGATGCTGTTGCTGTTGAGGGAGTACAGGGAAGGTTAACCAGGCTGATTCCGGGGAGGACTGGACTGATGTATGAGGAGAGATGACTGACTGGGTTAGGATTGTTTTCGCTGGAGTGCAGATGAATAGGAGGGGTGGGGTTGGGGGGAAGCGGGGGTGTGGGGTGGTTGGTCTTAGAGGCTTATAAAGTTCTAACAGGACTGGATAGGGTAGAGGCAGTGAGGATGTTCCTGATGGTGTGTCCAGAACCAGGGATCACAGTATGAGGATTCAGGGTAGACGATTCAGGATAGAGATGAGACATTTCTTCACTCAGGTGAGCTTGTGGAATTCATTACCACAGAAGTACTTGATGCAAAAATATTGAATGGATTCAGGAGGCGACTAGATATAGCACTTGGGGTGAATGGGATCAAATGTTACGGGGAGAAGGCAGGATTTGGGCAACTCAATAGCCTATCAGCCATTTACACAATGAATGGTGGAGCAGGCTTGAAGGGCCGAAGAGCTGCCTTCTGTTCCTATCTTCTGCTTCTATGTTGTGTAATACAATTGGTAATTTTTGTGTCCTGTTATAGAATCCATTATGATAGATTCCAGCCGCTTCCCTAATACTGATATTATGCTGATCAACCTGCAATTCCCAGTTTTCTCCCTTTTTTAACTAGTGGTGTTATGTTTGATGTCCTCTAATCTCCCAGGATGGTTCCAGAGTTTATGGAATGTTGAAAAATAACATTCAACATTTACAGTTTGTGGCTACCACCTTTAGTAACATTGGGATGTAGATTACCAGACTCTGGATTTAACAGCTTTCAGTCTCATTTTCTCCAGGCTTTTTTTAATGAATATTTGTTTCCTTTGTATTGAGTTGTGAATCATCAGAACTATTGAGATCGTCACTGCATCATGATTGGACATCGGAGGGCCATTGGTTGAGCTAACCTGCTGTTGGTAGATCTTTATGCTGGCTTTGGCCTAACACCAATCCTGGGGGGGGGGGGGGGGGGGAAAAGCCAACCTAAAGCTATGGCCTTAGCAAGCACCTGCGCCCCAGGTCAGGCGGTCCAGAACACAGTCAGGGTGACTGAAGAAGGTGCACCGGTTCAGAACTTTTTTTTTGTAAAGAGGATTCTGCTGGACTGTTGAGGTCCAAGCAGCAGACATCTACTGCCTGCATGGTTTCCCCAGCTGTGTGGGTATTTTGATTTCACTTTCAGGAGCGTGAAACAATGTGAGCACCTCCTGAAAGCTTTTGAGGATAAAGGTGGTGAGGGTCCCCTCTCTTTCCTGATTGCAGTGCTTTTTTTGTGTTACCTATGCAGAGGAGTCAGAAGGTTAACATTCGTATGTATAAACCCCATGTGTCAGCTGCAGATGTCCTGACCTTCCTGGAAAGGTATATGAAAGTGGAGAGTGGCAGCAGTGATGTGATGGACCCCTTCGGGATATGGACCAGAAAAGGGCAGGTCAAGGTATCTCTTAAGGCAAATGCAGACGGGAACATTTTCCATCCACCATTCAGCTTTGTGATTGGTGGGAGCTGAGGCTACTTGATTTATGCGAGACAACACAAGGTATGCTGTACCTGTGGGAGGACAGGGCACGTGGTGGCAGAGTGCAAGATGATGGGTCTGTGTGGACGAGGGAACACCTGACCAAGGACTGCCCAAAGACACAGAACTGTAAACTTTGTAGAGAAGCGGGCCACCTCTGTAAGACGTGCCCAAGATGGGGGTGGGGGGACACATATGCTCAGATGGCAAGCAGTGGCAATGTGAGCCAACCCGCCCCCTCCCCAAGGACAGTAAGATGCCACCCTCCAGCAAGGAAAACGAAGAGAGGGGCACGAGATACAAGCTCCAGAGAGACATAAGCCATGACGAGACGCAGACACAACAGACTCATCCTCCCGCGAATCCACAATCAATGAAGGAGTTGGGGAATGGAAAATGGTCAAGAAAAACCGGAAAAGAAAACCTTGCCAGGCCCCCGCACCACCACAACAGAATGGGAAGAGGCAGCTACAGGATGGTCACAGAAGCTCCTCTGATAAAGATGACCTACAGAGGGAGGGCCATCAACAAAACAGGGGCATCAAGATTACCAGGGAGAAGGAAAGGAGCACTGCCGTACCCAAAAATGGCATGTGTCAGAAGATCTCTGGCAAAACCCAGCCCTCCACTGTTGAGCAGGGGACGACAATCTCCCCGGTCAGACTTTGAAACTGATGTTCCTGGCTTTGTCCTCGCCTCGACGACACCAGACCAGAGAAATGGCCCAAGAGGCAAACTGGACAGGTCCCTCAGCCCTGCGAGGGTCCAACTGTTCACCCACACAATGGGGATGCAGGGACTGCCCTAGTGATAAGACTTTGGGTAAACTGACTTCGGGTTCTAACCATTGTATCAGTCTAAAATGGCTTTAAAAGCTGTAAGTATTAACGTGCATAGCGTTAAATCTACCACGAAATGTAGAAATGTGTTTCTACATTGGCTTACCTAGCCAACTTTAAAGCAGACCTCCTGTTTCCGCAGGAGTGCGGGATACCACACCTCCAGCAGCTACAGGAAATGGTTGAGCTTGTGGGCCTATGGGCCTTTGATTTGGTTGGCGGGGCAACGATTGCCGCTCCTCTGGCCTGGGTACTCTGCTGTGAGGAGGCACCTTCCCATTATGTATAAGAATGATCCCCTGAGAGTGACTAACGTGGCTGCCTAGAGTGCTTGGCTGTCCAGCAGCTTTCACTGGTGCTGGCTATGTCCAGGCCGGTTGCTCAGGCTGGAGACTTCAACTGCATCAGCGATGCCGTTGGATGATCTGGCAGGGGTGGGGCGGTGACAGTAAACTGGACCCCACCTCCGGATTCCTGATGAAAACTGTTAAAGGCACCAAGCTGCACAACAACTTCAGCACCCCTGCAGCTGGAGCACAGTGCAAATAGACCTGCCTGGCTGCAACCAGGTCTATCTGCTCAAGGATAGATTTCCTCTTTGTGTCCCGAGCGTACTCTGTCAGATCCACTGACGCCAAGACGGTGTTCTTCTCTCACCACTGCCTCCTGCTGGCTACCTGCCACTGCCAGAATGACCAGCAGGTTGGCAAGGGGACATGGAAGCTAAATGTGAAACTATTGACCCCAGAAAACATTAAGGTGGTCAAAAGAGATTACACTGGTTGGAGAGCCATGAAACGCCTCTGAGTTGCTGGGGGCCTGGTGGATAACAGTCAAGGGAATGTCAAGTGGCTCTTCATCCTCAAAGGTGTTCAGAAGGTGAGAGAGGCAGGGGAAACTGTCACAACTCCAGAAAAGCGTGCAGAAGCTGCTCCTGCTGGAGACTATGTCACTGAGGATCTCAATGAGGTGAAGAGCCAGCAAGGCCTGCACTTTGCCTCCGAGGCCTCCAAGATAATCTTCTGGCCCAGGATCCATACTGTGGAGCAGGATGAGATGTGCTGACATTTCTTCTTCCAGATGGTGTACAAGGAGAGCTCTGTGCTCTGCAGCCTGAAGGAAGAGGATGGTTTGGTAATGTCATCTCGGTCTGACATCCTGAGGATCAGCAAATCCTTTTATGCCAAATTGTATAACATGAAGCCCCCAGAGAGCATGGCCTCCCAGTTGTTCCTAGTCTCTATCACAGAGGTCTTAGTCTACAGCACGCGGGATAGGCTAGACCAATCGTTATCTCTGGATAAGCTGACCAAGGCCGTTGAGTCCTTTGAAAAGTATAAAACTTCTGGAAGTGATGGCTTACCAGCCGAGCTGTACTCGGCTCTGTGGGATTTGATTGGCCAGGACCTGATGAAGATGTATGACAGTATGCTTCTGGCCGGTACCATGAGTAAACCCATGAGGAAAGGCATCATCACCCTCATCTACACAGAAGGGGATGGGGGAGGAAATTAGAAATGGCCAACCAATTTTGCTGTTGAAAATAGATTACACAATCCTGTCTAAGGTCA